ATAATATGTCAAAATACACTCTACTGTAATGTATATCCAAAAAGAACAAATGTAAACAATTTTTAAAAGTACTAATAGGTATTCTTATTGAGTTTCTGTGATCCTCACTCTTGCCCACCTTCTAGAATTTCACAAATATGCAACAAGACTCCCTCAAAAGCACAGCTTCATGATCACTGAAATTGCCCTGGATTTGGAGTCAGAACCCTGACTTCAGCTCAGTTTCCTTGCCTCCCAGGAGATGTGGTGGGCACGATGATGCCCTCTCCTGCTCCAAGATCTTTATCCGTAATCACTGGAACCTGCAGATATGTTCGTTTACCTGATAAAGAGGAATAGAGTTGCAGATCAATTGACCCTAAAAGAGAAAGAAGAGCTTGGATTTTCTGGGTGACTCTCAAGGTCCTTGAGAAGAAAAAGGACAAGGAGGTCAGAGCAGTGGGCTGTGGAGACGGAGGAAGGCCAACAGCCGCGAGAGGTGGGCAGTCCCCATAGGCTGGGAAGGTGGGAAAGGGATTCTCCCCTGGAGTGGCCATAAATTAATGTAGCTCTGCAGACACCTGGATTTTAGCCCTGTGTCAACCATGTCAGACACCACCCCTGCAGAACTGCAAGGTGACAAGGGTGTGTTGGTTGTGAGTCCCTGCGTTTGGGGTACTTTGTTAGAATCAAGCAGAGGCAATGGTGATGATGCCTATAAAACTTAAATAATAGAAAAATGACAGAGTTTGTGGAAAACAGGTTTAATGCATTTTTTCTTAAGAGACAAATAGAAAACAGTATATTCTGACCCTACAAGGTTCTTTGCTTATGTCATCTTGTAAAATTTTCTCAACAACAGTAGATAGACAATATATATTCATGTTTTATTACACATGAAAAAATTAAGGATCAAACATTTTAAGTAATTTTCCCAAAGCTCCCAAATGAATTTGAAGTAAAGCTGAATTTAAAAAAAAAAAAAAACTTGTTTTTCTATAGGCAAAGGTTTGACTCTATCTTGGAGTTGATAGGAAGAGATTGGACTTTGCAGAGATGCAGAAGCCAAAATTGAAGTGTTAGTGTAAGATATTTAGAAAGCTCTTTGACACCCAAGCACTGATGGAAGACTCAGTAAGTGTATGTTTTTGCATCTGGACTTTTCCAGATACCTTTCCAAGTTTACCTGCCTCAGCTCTGCCTCTTGGGATGACTTGATTAAGGAGCTCTCATTCATTAAACTTTCCAATGAGGAATGTGCACCATGGTTGTAAGTGGTAAGTCCTATCATTGTTTGGATTGACATTGAGACATGCCGGCAAAATCTCTATCCCTGTGGCTAGGGAAATGGAGGAATAACATAATTAAATATGTTAATTCACACTCTGTATATCTGTGGACTTATCATTGGGGGACACTTTGAGTAGAAGTCAGTTGGATTCCTGGCTGGATGTTACATGTTCCAGTTCCCTATGTTTATTAAGTATTTTCAAGATTATATCTTAACTTAATACTTTCAGAGCCTTTGAAATTCATTCTAGTTTAGCTTAAAGTTCAATGAAACCCAGCAGAAGTTAAAGAAAAAGCCAATGTGTTGTTTTATATATGTATATATGTGTGTATATATATATACACATATGTTATATGTATATATACACACACACATATATAAATATATATAATTAAAATTAATAATTATATATATATACATACATATATATATATATATATATATATATTTGATCTGGGGCAAAATCTAGGTAGGAAGAATAAATTTAAAATATCTTTGAGAGACATACAAAAATATAAAAATTTAGGTGTGATTTATTTCCCATGAATCTGCACAAAGCTTACACGGAAATGCTGTAAATTTTCCATGCCTTGGGTGTCTCAGGATATATGGGCTAAGTGTATGATAATGTTCTTTGTCTGGCTATCTAAACTTTCCAGGTCTGTATCTACACAATTTAAAGATAATTAATTGACTTACAAACTTATTTAGTCAATGATTTTTTGTATTTGTGTAGGATGCTCAACAAATGATTCTTTTTTCAGTAGATAATTATTTTAAAGTACAGAACACATGGTTCAAATGAAAGTCTGCTTTTTGATGCTTCCAGGCTTATGTTTATATGAGTCAATATTTTCAGTTGCATAGAAGAATTTCATGATTTCTCAGACATATGCACAACATAAAAATTCCAAAGAAATAGTGGGAGGTACTTTTGAAAAATGCAATATGCTAGCTTGTAAGGCCAGTCTTAAAATTTGCCTATTTATTTATTTAACAAATATTTTGGGGATGGTAGGAAGCGCCATCTGTTTGACAGAAGACTTAACCTTGACTACAGGAGTTTCTTCAGATCAGTATAGTGATACACAGGCATATTCTCAATTGTATCACAAGCTGAAAATAATAGGTGTCACATGTTTAGAAATAACAAAATATACTTTAAAAATACTTAAATAAACTTAAATGATTTATTAAATAACACATCTGTTTGATATTTTAGTTTTTATATGTCTTGCATACCACATGTCTCAGGGTCTGAAATGCCACCATATTATTCTTCCATATATATATATATATATATATATGTATATATATATATATATATGATCTTAAAGAGGATTGACATAACATAATTTTCACATAAAGAGAAATACTTCTTCACAAACTATTATAAGCTGGGACTCAGTTCCCTTTCCCACACCAAACCCTGGAACCACACACAAATACACATAGGCATGATCACTGAGCATACACTAAATAAAGACTTTTCAATATTACAAAATATTTAATGAACATAAAGGAAATGGAATAATATCACATTGTAGCAGCTTGTTAGACACCACCTTAATAGAGGGTCAGAATTAACATCATCAGTAAAGGAACAAAACCCATCATGCACCTGTGCAAGGATGTAATGGGAAAGGCCCAACAGGTAATGTCCTACCAAGGACTGAGAGCCTAAATCTAAGGATATGGGAAAATCAGAAAAAAAACTCAAATCCATGGCCATTTTACAGAATAATTGACCTGTACCTTCTATAGTGTTAATGTCATGAAAGTTAAGGAAAATGTTCATGGAGCCATTTCACACTGAATGTAACTAAAGAAACATGGCAGCTATGACAGCTAAATTTAAACTGATTCCTTAAAGTACATTTCTGGGTATTATGGTTTAGAGATGAGGTAACCCCCCAAAAGTCATGTATGAGACAATGCAAGAAATTTTAGAGATAAAATGATGGGGTTATAATAGGTTTGACCTAATCAGTGCATTAATCTTCTGATTGGGATTAAGTGGTGGTCACTGTAGGCAGATAGGTTGTGGCTAGAGAAAGTAGGTTCATGGAGATACACCTTTGAGATTTATCATTTGTCCTGCTGAGGCAAACTCTCTCTGTTTCCTGGTACCATATCCCTAACTGATTTCTTTCTCTACAACTTTTTGCCATAGTGTTCTGCCTTCCCTTTTGTCCAAAGCAACAAAGTTGGCCATCTATGGACTAAGATCTCAGAAATCATGAGCCCCAATATAAATTTTTTTAATTTTTTTTGTTTTTATTTTGGACATCCAAATGATAGAAAATATAGAGCTAATATTAAAGTAAAGCATGAGAAAATTTGATACAGTTTGGCCAAGTAAGTTGTTTTCAATTTTTTCTTTCATTCGCCTGTTCAATACAGGTTACCTTTTTGTTGTGATTATCTTACCCCAACTATTTGACCACTCAGGAAAAGTTCTAGGTAGGCAGAATTGATGTATGTTGCATTCCTTCCTTAATTTTATTTCTATTATGTCTTAGGTTTTGAGGTTCAGCTCTATAGTAATATCACAACATCCAAAAAGAAAAGATATAGTCAAAGGCCTTTCAAGAACAGAAATACAAGTGAGCAGATCTGGGTCCACCAAAGAAAACTGGAAAAAGTCTGCATTTCTGGCCATTACTTCTAAATAAATAACTAAAATACTAAGTGCTGAGTTTGAATCTCAAATTCACCACTTAATGATCATGGTTCACCAAAGAAAAATGGAAAAAGTCTGCATTTCTGGACATTACTTCTAAATAAATAACTAAAATAGTAAGTGCTGAGCTTGAATCTCAAATTCACCACTTAATGATTATGGTCCACCAAAGAAAACTGAAAAAAGTCTGCATTTCTAGACATTACTTGTAAATAAATAACTAAAATAGTAAGTGCTGAGTTTGAATCTCAAATTCACCACTTACTGATTATGTTACCACCAGGAGCCCAAGTCTGGAAATAATGAGAAGATATAAATTTTATGGGACTGTTATAAGAAATGAAAAGGATGGTGTATGTGAAAACTTATTTCTATACATGAAATTTTTATGAATATTTGGAAATTGTATATTCTAACATAATAATAGGCTAACCTAAATCAAGTACAGTTGAATAACTCTTATTAGAGTTTGCCTTTCCAGTACATACAACATGTTTATATTTCCTCTTTGCTTAAGGGCAGAAAATAGCAGCAGTCAATTATTGGAAAATGCAGGGAACCACAATTTAGGGAGTTTGAATCACATTGTAAGCATTCATAGACAACCACATTTCAATGAACAAGTGACTCAATCTGTGTAAGTTTTGGTGTCTAAGTGTTAAACAATGATTTCCCCAATGGTTTGCCTTTTAAATATATATATTTCTGAGTGCACTATATTTCCCTTATTCAGAGAATAACTTTTCACTTCAGTTTTAAGGCACATCTAGTCCACAATGTTATTTAAATGATTGAGTCCTAAAGAAGTTTGAAAGTGAATTTTTTTCCTAAATACAAATTGTAGAATTATAGGCCACATACACATACAAAACATTTGGTTTCCGCACTACTTCTCTCAAGCATATAAAAACACTCACCACCAGAACAGTTGCAACAGCTTGGCAGGAGCATCTTCCCTGGAAGAGAATAAAATTAGAGAAATTACTCATTCTTAATGATTTTTGCCAATGAAATATTCAAAATGTAGCTAGATAAGGCTCTGGTAACTTGGTTGGAAAGTTTTCAGTGGCCTAAAATAAGGGAAACTTGGAACTCCATGGATACCAGCTAACAAAAATAAAATTCTCATCTCATGCTAAATGCTAGCTAGTGAAAAACAACAAAACACATACACACATATACAGAGTCACAGTTACTAAACAAAACATTCCTGTATAAAATGTACAATACATGCAAGGAATAATTATGAGTTCTGAGATAACCACTCTCAAAAAGTTTCTTAACTGGGGTGAGAAGAAAAGGATATGCATAGATGTTCTGAGTCATGTGGGAGAGTCATGACTTTTATCCTCACCTGTCTTGATTCTGCAAGTTCTGACCTATATATGGCAGATTCATGATTCTCAGATTGCTGTCATCCCAGAGGTGTCTCACCTTTTCACCTTCTGCATGTGTGTGTTCTTATAGCCAAATGCAAACTGACACCAAAGGACTCCATTGAATCCTCTGCACATTTAATACCTGGTTATCATGTGACTACACATGGTTTTTCTAAATACTCTTAGAATTCTTGCTTAGGGTCAAAAGTCTGGGTGATTTGAAGAAGGGGGAGCTGGAGAAATGTCCTTTGACATTGTCTTGTTTTTTGTTTGTTTGTTTGTTAGCTGGTATCCATGGAGTTCCAAGTGTCCCTTTTTTAGGCCACTGAAAACTTTCCAACCAAGTTACCAGAGCCCAATCTAGCTACATTTTGAATACTTCATAGAACATTGCCTTGTTATGCCAGATATGTTTCGTTTTCTGCATGACTTCATCTGGATAGGCATTTCAAGCTGTGATTTCTAGATTTGAATTCCCATTGTAGACCCCTTTATCACTGAAAAGGAGGCTTTAAAGTTCAAAGTCAGTTAGAATGAGCAACGTCTTAAAAGTTCATATCTTTCTGATCCTTCCTGGTGTTTGTTGCTTCAAAGAATGTCAAATTATTGTACATTGTGTAGCAAATATCTCCAATGGGCATTCTTTAAAAATGCACTCAGGAAACCAGTCTTCCAGCTCAAAGGTTTTATGGTGAAACCGTTGTTGTTGATATGAAAAGTTGTTCTGTAAGCAAAACTTCAGCAGCCACGATTCCCCCAGATGGCTCCCAGCTTATTGTTCTTGTCCTGGGATAGTGACTGAAGTGATCTTATTGTTCCTAGATTCTTTGAAGTAACAATTGGATTCTGCTATTCACATGAATTGTGTTTCCCACCACCCCCAGACACCAATAAGGTGCCTCTGTACACTCTCTCTATTCAATCCTAGGCATGTATTTAAAACCAATGAAATAATTACATCTTCTATATCAAAGCATACATATTCACCAGTTCTTACTCCTCCAGAATGCTAACCACAATCTGTTCTTGAGGGAATGTCAGTTTCTATGGATCTAAACTAAATAGATAATAGCTAAATTGTTAGATAAATGTTTTGTGTAATTTAAAATGACACAATAATTCCTATAATTTAAAGCTTTAATAAAACAAATTAAGAGAATTTGTAGAGGCAAAAGAAAAGTGTTTGATTGACTCTATAAAATTAAAACTATGGTTTTTTATGATTTACTTTATTAATTTAAAGAATGTGTGTTATATTGGATATAATAAGTAGCCAACTTAAACATTCACATCATATTACTGTTGCATGTGAAGTTAAGATTCCTGATTTGAAAATAAAATATTTTTTTACATGCTAGTATTACAAGCTAATGTGAGGAATCATAAGGAAACAAGGAAGTACTAAATGAAAATATGACTAAAATAGATAGGGCAAACTTTATAAATGAGGAGCTAACATATGATTATATAGAAACTTACTACATGAAATTGGCTATTACAATATCTGAAAAAAAAAAGATTTCACATATTCCCAAGATTTCACTTATGTTTCAGGTACATATGAACTAATTTCAATAATTTGTTCATGTCTCATAGTATGTGCCCTTAAGAGTGCTACTGGTGTCCTAGGCCAGATGCCTGGCTCTGGTTCTCAAGAGACCAGGTTCACTCCAAGAAACCAGACAGGAGACAAGTGGTGAATTCAGGAAAGGTATTAATTCTTCATATGGCCACAAGGGGAGAATTGATCAAAATGCTGTCGTCAGGATTAAACAGTAGCTTTGGGTTTACATAGGAAAAAAACAAAGGCAAGAATCCAGAGGATTTGAACAACTAGCAATCTCAGTCAGGCTGTGGTATGGTTGACCCTAGGACTGGATGTGCAGAATCTTCTTGGCACCAAGGAAATTGCCCCTACTGAGTGAGAGCAATTTTGATTTATGTGCCAGGATGATCCTCTATTAGATCTGAGATCCTGAAATTTAAGATAAAATGTGGGAAAAATAACTCAGAAAAAAATAGATCAGAAGAGACCAAATTGAGTGAGTTAGGTCAAAAATGGCCTCTTCCCTAAAGGAGGCAATATTTAACTTAGGATCCAAGTTCAAGTGCTAGGTCAACACGTCTGGATTGTGTTTTCACCAACATCATGTGTAAAGAGCTGCCAGGTGGCACACCTCTGGAGAATTTTTAGGGACCACCAGAGCATGGTATCCTTTGTAATGACCTTGACTATGAAATTATTTCCATAGCAAAATAATATCCTCACCCTATTCTGCACACACAAATTGCTTTAGGTACATAAAGTTTCAGTAATAAGAAAACTCTATTAATTTAATTCAAGACCCTAATCTTTACCTGAAATGCCAATTTTGGGAGAGTTAACACTCATTCAAAACTATGGAAATGCTATGCATCTTAAGTAATGTCTGACATTTTAGGAAATTTATTATGTTTTATTTGTTTATCAAGATAATAAAGATATTACTTATCTACATAAGAAGAACCAAGTATCTTGTTTGAGTAAAATAGTATATATAGAAGGTGAGTACATAAATTCCACACCTATTCTCTTTGGGTTTGAATTATGTCTGTGCCACTGAAGAGCACTCATTTGGGATGAGTTTCCTGTCAGTGACCTTCTTTGTAAAAATAAGAGTTGAAAACTGGCACAGGAAGTAGAAGGAAAGGATGCAAGAAATACTCCTGGTCATTACCTCTACTTTGGAAAGGTTGACAAGACAAGAATGTAAAATTAAAAAAAAAATAGGATTCTCAAGACACTTTTTGTTTTAAGTTGGTTAAACCTCAAAGGAAAACCAAAATTGTATTAAAAATTTGAAAATGGTAACAAGAATAAAATGAAAAACATCCATTTGGATAATTATTTTACTAAATGTAATAGAGGATCACAGCATTAGTGTATGTACTTTAGAAAAATACTATCTTAGACCATGTTATTATTCAAAGTGCATTGAGGTGAATATCCTAAAAGACCTGACATTCTCCTCTCTATAGGGTTTGAACTTACTTGAATAGGACATAAAAGGTGTTTACTTCAGGAGGTAAGAAAACCATAAATCTTTATTAAATTATATAATCCAGGAATACTGAGGAACCTACAGATGAAGGGAGTGAATGTCACAGAAGAAGGATTTTAGTGGAAGTTTGAGACCAGAAGAGTGAAGCTATGGTAAGAATATGCTCTAATAATAAACTAAGTTCCGACTCTCCCACAAAATCATATCTCAGATCTTCCTCACTCATTCCATCTCTGTCTCTGTCAGTGTCATCTCCTGGTCCACTGACATCTGACTCCTGACTTATCCTCCTGCTCATTTCTGTTCTTTCATCTTTCTAAGCAGAGAAAATAAACTTTTAAAATCATAATTTGCATCACATCTCCTCAACATACAACCTGAACAGCTTTTCAGTATATTTATAATAAAGTCTAAATTTCCCACCCTGGCTTATGAAGACACAGAAAACTTGGTCCCGTTTATCCCTGACCATATCTAACAGCATCTAACCAACACACATAAGCCATAGAGGGAATTGATTCTGCTTCTGCAAAATGCCAAACTTGGTCTCACCTGAAGACTCATTACTATCTTCCAGAAATGTTTTTACCCCTTATTTTTATGTGATCAGTTTCTTCTTATAATTTAGGATTTCTCCATTTTGATGGAGAAAATGGAGAAAACCTCCTACAGAGGGTTTGTCAGTAAATCATAACTTCTAGTACAACAGGACCATTGCTTTTAATGTTCATTGTTATATATCAAAAGCTTTAAAAAGTGTTGGATCTTAGTAAAATATATGGGTGAATAAATGACCTTCTGCATTGGGCTGGCTCTACTACTGTAGGAGTCACATGTTGGAAGTAATTAGCTTTTTTGTAAGTTGACCTTGGTACAATAATCTCATCTATTTTGGGGAATAGGGTCAGAGGCAGAGCTGGGAGTATAATGCACAATGCAAGCATTCTACCACTGAATCACACCCCCGCCCAGTGATCTCATAATTTAAAGAACTTAAAGATTTAAGACTGCAGGATTTTGTAGTCTATAACAATGCTCTAAACTATTCCTGATATAAATAACTGGGTTGAAGGAAAGAAAAATGATAGTAAACAGGGGATATCAATGTGCTTACATTTTTAATCTTCCAATTTGATTGGCAATTAGATAATTCTGCTGCTGGGCCATAGGAAATATCTTAGATATGGTTGTATAGCCCAAACCATTAATTTTTAAAAGTTTCTCTTCAATTTGGAAATAAAGATTAGGTTGCTCATTCTGTAACAACTGAACTTATATTAAAGCAGCAAAGCATATCTGTTAAGAAGTTTTAAAATGCACTATATGTGAATAGCATGTGGGAAGAGCAGACATGAGCAGGTCTTGCTTAAATTCTATCTTTTCTTCTCAGTGGTGGCATGACTTCAGGGAAAATTATAACCTTTCTGAACTTCTGTCTCCTCTTATTAAAAATGATATGATAATAGTTAAATCACAGGATTGTTATAAAATTCTTAAGTAGTTTCCCACACAAGATAGAAACTGAATTATATTCAA